CGAGTTTGAGCACTCGTGGCGCTTGTTTAGGCTACAACTCACATATACCCACATGAACGCCAGCCAGCTGCTTGCTGAAGCTAAGTGACGGCCAAGGGTGGCTTGCCGCCGCGCAGGCAAAGGTTGCCAACCTGATTTGGGAGGTTTCCCAAAATTAGAGGTACCCTTTTGGCGCTCCCAGAAGTAAGGGTTATAGTATGTATATTGGGGTCTATATTGGGATCCCCCTATTTATGGAAACTACCATTTAGGAATCTAGCGGAAGGGTTATTGAAATTATAGTTACCTAAGGTTTGCAGGCTTGTAGTTGGCCTTAGAAATTGCGGAAATTGTGGTCCTCCAGCAATTGTAAATCTATTTCGTCCTGAGGATCTAGGGTTGGGCGTTAGGACTAATTAGGGTTTAGCCTGGCACCCATGTTTCTGAGGTACCAGGGATTTTTAGATACTGTACATTCTTGCAAAGCTTGCGATTCCACATGGTTGCACATGAGTGATGAAGGAATTGTTCAGGTATGTTGGGAGGATTGTGTTGGATTTCTTGGAACATAGCTATGCGTCCAGGAGGCATTCTCGGCCGAAAAGCCATCGGCATCCTAGCTGCGGGGCCACTTTTCCCATTGCACAAGCAGCTCCACATGTGCTGCTTTCTGCAACGGAGAGCGCCTTGTCCACACGGATCTTGCTCAGTATGAGAGACTCGTCGATGTGGGATGGCAGCGGCAACTGCACGAGGATTGCGTGCACCTGTCCAGAAATCATGAATTGCTTTGCATGCACTTGGGCTGGCTCCGTCGGGCCTGTGGGTCGTCGTTCAACTTTTCCACCTCACCCAACAGCTCCTCACCAGTGTCTCGCAGCAGCTTCAAGTGAATGCGTATTACAGATTGACATGGGTGCTCAGAGCCAGTAGCTGGGCTCCTCCTGGGTCACTGTCTCCGGAAGAGTGACATCGACCGTGTGGAAACCAACCTGTGCATCCCGCAGCAACTAGTACTTGCAATACTTTGCTGTTGCGAAATTGTCCCGGGGCTGCCTTGACTTCGCATCATGGTCTGGAATGATAATTGATTAGGCAAAAAAGCGGTGCAGCTATGTCTGTGCAGGGCAGGATGACTGGGCAAGATGGGGCGCCAGCCTCGTCGGCAGCTTTCTTTTTGTTTCGCACCTTGGAAGTGTCATGTCACAACATGGGGTTCATTTCGGGCACAAGGCACAATACTCATCGCACATACTGAGCCCTTGGCGTAGGACTGCGAGTCCTTGCGCGAGCCGACCAGGATCACAGCCAAGCCAGGGGTTACCCCATGTTGCGCTTTCAGCTCGGCCTCGCATAAGCCATTGCAGCTGAGGACTCTCGCGGAAGAATGGGGATGCTGGGGATGTGGCCGTGTACTCCTTGATCTCAGCCCGAACCTGCCAACCATCAGGCTGGAAGTTGCCCACCCCGGCTGCTCAGCAAAATAGCTTCAATCATGGCCTCCGCTGCGATTGCTTTTCCATCGATGTTTTTCGTGTCGATTGTTTCCTTCTTCTCATCCTTGATCTCTTCGTCGGAGTTGTCTGCGCCTTCTGCCTGAAAGAGCCAAGGACCCCGAAAAAGGCTGGGCAAGCAACAGCCCCCAGCAGAATTTGGAGGATCATGGGCGTTAAAAGGGGAAGAAACAATTCACAAAAAGCTACCCATGAACATCCAGCTGTAAAAATGGAGGCCGCCTGAGCTTGGGCCTCGCGTCCCAGCAGGCGGCGAAGGCCAAGGCCAATAGCCACACCAGAGGCGCAGGCGGCCAAAACACCGACGCCGCGCGCTGTCATGGCTCTTCACTGGGCCAACTAAATCTCCAGTAAAGGAGAACGGGGAAAACAACTTGTGTGTTGTGCAGTCTCCAGCCAAAACAGCATCGCATGTCGAAGATGACAACTCACAGGCAAGCAACACAGCTTACATCTTCCCACTGCCACTCATCTGAGTAAAAGCGCAGCAGTGCGAGGGTTGATCTCAACAACGCATTCAAAGAGGTGCCTGATGTGCTGATACGACAGGATACCACATGGTGTGCGACGATATGATGTGATGTGATGTCATGTCAACTTGGTGACCTGGTCCCAGGGCAGAGCCCCGGCCATCACCGGGCAAGCCCATGAAGGAGACTTTCTCTCGCCTTTCTGACAAAAGCATACAAAATTCATGAAACGGGGAAAGGACAACCATCCTCCTGGTTCACTTTGAATTCCAGCCGGCGATGGTGTCCAAAATGATTAAAGTCAAGTGAGCTATAGTCTAAACTCTTAGTATCCTCCTTAATAACCTCTAGAACGCTTCCCTACATAAGCCCCTAGATAACCCCTTTAGGGGGTTTAGACTACAGCTCAAATATTATCCCCATCCCAGTCAAGAGAAGGCTGGAAGCACTGCGGAGCTACAACTTCACACAGCGCTCCCATGGAAGATGCATACCTGGCCGCAACAAGCCACCATGCAAGATACGTCTATCCAGTGCCTACAGTGGGACATGACCAGCACCCTGAGAAGGAGAGAAATCCTGAAGAGCAATCCAGCCATCTTCAGATCACACACCCCAACACTCATGTCAAAAATACCGGGTCCTACACAACGCCAGGAGGCTAAGCTAGGAGCATTTAGAGCTTTCTATCCTTGAAGAGCCAAGCTTGTGTTTGGGTTCGGGTAGGTCGGGGACACCCGAATTTGACCAGTGATCTCCAAAGAAGAAGGTTTCCAACTTTTGCAGAAAGCAAAGCCGCTGCCCAAAACCAAATCCCATGCGCCTGGACTCAGGCAAGTTGCGGCTCCACCGCTGGGACCTCTGAGTCTTGTGTTTGCTTGTGCAACCAGAACCCCTTCTATTCTAGTATCACTACTACAACCACCTCCCCTCTTCGACGTCTACTCTGATGATGATGATCATCATCATCATCATCTACCACTGCGCGGTCCAGGAACATCCTGCTTATTTTGCTGTAAATGCGCCATCCTGGCTGATGGGATAGACGCAAAAAAGCCATCACGGCTCCCCTGTTCCTGCCTCACGTCGCAAGGGCACACGAGGAAGGCCTGCACTTTGGCGCGCCAGGTTCAAAACGTTCTTGAGGAGCATTGCCTCCCACACAGAAATCTTTCAGGACTTTTGGGCTTGGCGTCCTGTCCTTAGAGTTCAGAGCTTCGTGTACAGGATTCTGGATGATTTAGAATATATAGTCCCCCTTAAGTAGATAGAAGATGCCTTTGGGTATAGTATAACAAGATCCCCATATACCCCATATTCTATCTACTTAAAGGGCACTATAGAACTTAGACTTAGGGCTGACTGAGGGGGCTGACCTTGTATGCCCAGTCTGAGCAATGGCATAGCCGCAACACTGTTGAGATAACATCGAAATGAGCCCTCTTCCCTACTGAAGTCGATTCTAAACACACTGCAAGGCTTCGATAGGGGAACCAGACGCCGACGACTATCTACTCTTCAGGGAGGCTGGGAACACAGACCCTACTGGGTTCAGATTTGCTCAAGCAATGCCCTTATCGCACCCAGAAAAGCGCGTCGAAATCAAATTCAAGAAAGCTGCGATGGTCATCGGCCCAACGCCCCCCGGCACAGGAGTCACCATAGAAGCTACCTCCAGCAAGTAGAGCGACGAAACAACATGGAGCAACCATTATTCAAATCCCTCTCTTCTAAGGTTTCGGGTAATCGGGGATCTACATCTTGAGAAACGGCCACATCCCAAGCTTGCACCTTCCAGCTCTACCGGGAGTAGCCAAAACAATGAACGCCAGGAGTCCAGCTGACATTGTTGATAAGACAGCCAGGCCACTCCCAAAACCTCTGCATAGTTCACGTCTCCAACCTAAGCTGTGCTTTTGTGAAGTTTCCAAGACTTTCAATAGTTCTTCATGAACGGAACTATAAAAGATCCAGAAAGGCTTTCAGCGCCATGTGCAAGAACTCCAAGGTAAATAGGCTGCCCGTCACAAAATCTGGAAAAGGGCTCAAAGGCTCATAAGCTCCTGAGTCGAGCAAATCTTAGAATCTGAGCTGGCCACCAAGCGATAACCAGACTTCTTTGTCTCATCTGCTACCTAACATGGTAAAGAAGGCAGTCGATCTCAAAGCACGCCGCGGAGGCTGTTCTATTCTCCACTGAGCGCCACGTCTCAGTCTATCTGCGTTTATGCATGGCTTTGACAAGCTGAGTTGCTGAGTTGATACCTACGTCGATGACGACGCAGCCTGGCTTTAGCCACTCTCCGCCTCCGCAATGTAGCTGAAACAGGTAGCCGATGGCAGTTGTGCAAAGCAAGTGAGCGGGGGACAACTGAGGCAGCTACGCACAAACTGGGCCTGACCAATAGCCACGATCACCTGAGACGTCAGACATCTTAGGCCACTGCAAGAGTGTAAGCAGCTTTTGGTCTTAAGCAAGCCTAGGCACAATGTCAGCACGGGAAAGGTGCCGGGCCACATCCTGTGACTTCGAGTGGCATACTGTGACAGTGGCGTCCATTGAGAGCAGCAGCTGCGCCATAGGCATGCCCACGAGATTTGACCTGCGAGTTGGAAAGCTGTATGCACCCAGGCAGTACACACCCACAGACCTAGTTGGACCCATAACAGCAATGTCCCATAAGATCCGCCTGCCCAGAACGACCACTGACTTGCCGGCCACTTCCACGCCGCTACGCTGCAGAAGCTCAACACAACCAGCAGGCGTGCAAGGAACCTCAGTTCTCCACGACGTCATCCACCAAGACCAAATACGATGATGATGATGATGATGATGATAATGATAATGATGATGATGTCTTGAACTCGCCAAGGAGCAGCCAAGGGCGGGTCACCTCCTTTTAAACATAGATTCCCGACCTCATGCCCAGGGATTTCTGCACGAGCGTGGCATATGTAACCACACATAACCTCAAACGTTTAGACGAGGCTTTCGAGTTGCAACTGGGCAGCGTTTTCCGCAGCAAAGCAGTCAGCGTCCTTGCAGAGGAGCATCTGTCAGCATGAAGTTGCTAACCAGAACGAGTGAGCAGCGATTGTACATTGCAACCCAAGTCAAAGTGCAATTCTCAAACCTCACTCCCTGCCCACATCAACCAGCCGAGTCCTTGTCTACTCGAATCTGCTTCAGAATTGCACCCTCATTGATGTGCTCCGGCAAAGGCAATTGCACCAGGATGCCGTGCACCTGAGACAGAAATCCTTCACGGCCTGAAAGCCTGTCTGCCCCCGCCCATGCAAACTGAACAATCATAACGTGACTGCACCGGTACATCGATGTTTCGGGCCTCTTGACTTCGTGCATGCAACGAGCTTTGGTTGGTTTCAGAAAGAGGGTTCCCAGCTTAGCTTGGTTCAGAATACTGGATGCCCTGCGGTAGCATGGAGGGGAATGAAGGATTGCATCCCTATAGCGATCCCTACAAAATCCCTCGAAATAGTCTCTTCAACCTTGTTCGTTCTTCCCTACTGGCCTTCGGGTCTTCATTCACCTTCTGAAGCTCCAGCAGAAGCTCCTGGAATCTTGGAGCTTCTGAAACGGTTTTAGGGTTGGGGGTGTAGGGTTTAGGTTTTTTTTTGTAACGGCCTTTTTTACGCCTGCACGACGTACTGACAGGGTTTAGGGTTTAGGGTCTAGGAATTTGTCAGTATCACATAGGGGCTAGCCTGACAGGATTCCATGAGAAGTCCCGGAGTAAAGCTTACTAACTTCTCCCATCCTCCTGGGCGACGCTATCCGGGAGGTGCACATCAACTATATGGAAGCCCACCTGTGCACAGGCAAGATTTCTGTTGTGTTACTGTTCTTCATGTCAGAATGGCTGGTATTGTTACCATTGTTACGATCATTGCTATTTCTACTCATCTTACTACCAGTACTATACTGCTCCTACTACTCATCCTATTTGTTCAGCATTATTGCGCACTATTATGAATAGGCCACTACAGAAGTGGGGGGGGCTGAACCCTAAACCCTAAACCCGCAAGAAGTGCGGGGCATGCCTCTCTGGCAGCTTTGGTCTTGTTGGCGACCTTGACAGGAAGCTGGGGCTAGGGCAGACATGTGCGGGTATGCAAGGATATGTAGACCTTAGGGTTTAGGGTTGTGGGTCTTGGGGGCCAATAGAAATGTATAGGGATCTGTGGGGGTATGGTCCAACTTTGGGTACCCTAGATTATTAAGACTCACAAAAGGACCATCAAGGATCTAAAGAGCACTGGGTGAGGGACATAGCTCTTGGAGTCTTGCCGTTCACCGACCAGGATCATGGCAATGCCAGGGACCACACCGTGCTCTTGCTGCAACTGCTCCTTGCACTTGCAAACACCAAGCTCCTGCTTGCCAAAGGTGTAGGGTTCTGAGGGTTCAGGGCTCAAGGTCTGCAAGTTCGGCCGAGAAGCAGTCATTTCTTTCACTTCCGCGCGGACCTGTGGCATCCAAACAGTGCTGAACTGCAAGTATGCAACTGTCGAAGCAATCCTGCTGCCTGTGTGGAAACTGCCTTGCCATCAATAATCCTGGTCTGGATCTTGCCCTGACAAACACCAAGAAGTCAGTAAAAGAGAGAGGTGCCCACCCAAGTTGGGGCAACCCGCAGCAGCTCTTGACAACCAGAATCTACCTTGGTGTGCTGTAGCCTGTAGCCTGTAGCCCATCATCCAACAACTGGCCTCCATTGCGCTGTCAGCTATCGGCACCAAAAAAAGAGGTAGTGCAGTCAACTACTCTCAGTAAGCGAGCTAGACTCCGGTCACACTACAATGTAATGGGGAATGGCCTGAACTGACTTAGGACACTTCAAAAGGGTTCAGAGCCTAGGGTTTAGGGCTTTGTAATGATGCTTGCTCCAGCCAATATGGCTGCCACTTGCGTTGATGACAGTCATGCATGAAACTGCAAGTAACAAGACAGTGTCCATGAACTTCCAGCAAGCTCAAAGCGCATGTTCATCCTGCAGAGCTGCAGAACTGCTTTTTCACGAGTCTAGCGCCACTGCACTTGCAAGCAAATCCTGGGAGATTCGGGTCAGCTCCTGGGTCACATCTTTCGCCTGACACAGGAAAGCTGCCTACCCCAGTAAATGGCAAAAGTTGTTGTTCATTTCAACAATGAGACAATGGTGAATCCTCACACCTTGGACCAAATTCTGGGAAGAACCCTTGATATGCGCATGAGGCAAAAGGCTAGACCGAACCCTCCATGCTCCTTATTCTTACCGCTTTTGGACCTTCACCTTATCATTTTGCAGGGTTTGGAGACTGCGCATGAAGAATCTTATGGCCAAGCAGGATTCGCAGGACAAGCAGGATTCGCTGACCTCGAGGGTATGACCTAGACTTATCGCTTTGGGCCCTCTCCATCTCGTTTTGCAGGGTAATCGCAAAACTTCAGAGCACAAACTGGGTCCAAGACTATATAGCTGTACGGAGCTATTATTGCCTATTGCCCGTGCGCCAAGGCATGAAGCGTCGCCGAGGGGCTGTGCGGCTACTGAGCACCAACAAATGCTGCGCACTTTGTCTGAGGTTGGCTGCCTGATGGTCACAACACAAGCAAATTCTAGGACAATGCCTTCTGCTTGAGAATTGCCAGAGCAACCCTGCCTGAACTTGGCATACGCTAAGGCGATCTACGGCAGCAGCGCCAGCAGCTGGACTGGCAGACGGGGTGTGCGACGGAGGCGTGGTGTGCAACGCAGGCGGGGTGCGCGATGCCCTCCGTGGCCTCATGCGGCGACTCAGATCCTGCACTGCTGCCTTGAAGCCCATGGCGCCACCCTTGCAACCGCCTTTCGTGTTTCCACCCTTCCCTGCCCGCGGCGGCGGTACATTCCTTGGCTTGGGCGGACTCGCACCCTTCCCTGCCCGCGGCGCTTGCTTTGGTTTTGGCGGACTACTTGGCTCTGCCGGGCGGACCCATGGACGCACTGAGCCAGGTGAACTCCAGCGCGCAGAGCTGCCTGATCAGGGTTTCCGGAAAGCACTAACATGAGCCCCAATAACAAGTAGTCGAAAAAGTAGGTCGTCAACCCGGGGCCCTGTAATTTTTTAGGATAGTAGGGTCCTGATTGGACAGGCGCCAGGGCACACGCAACAATTGTGCGCATGGGCTCTAGCAAAGAGTGCTCCTGAGCATAGCACCCACAGCTACTACTATTATGATGTATCCCCACATGAGACACGCGCAAACTTGACACAGACCTTCGCGCCTGAGTTCGCTGAGTGTCTTGAGCTCCACGAACCCCACCTGAGGGGTATTGCTTCTGGATGGCGCTTTCCAAGAAAGACTCCACGCTTCTTGTAAAACACTACAACCCAATGAATGACAAACTCTGTGTTGGAGACTAGAGTATCCCAACTTCACTATGACTATGACTATGACAATTACTATTACTATTACTATCACTATTAGTATTACTATTACTATTACCATTACTGTTACTATTGCTATTACTATTCTTCCTACTACTACACTACTACTACCACTACTACTACTACTACTACTACTACCACTACTACTACAACACCACTACTACTACTACTACTACTACTACTACTACTACGATTACGAATACTACTACTACTACTACTACTACCACTACTACTACAACACCACTACTACTACTACTACTACTACTACCACTACCACTACTACTACAACACCACTACTACTACTACTACTACTACTACGACTACTACTACTACTACTACTACTACCACTACTACTACTACTACACTACTACAACACTACTACTACTAGTACTACTACTACTACTACTGCTGCTACTACTACTACTACTGCTACTACTACTTCTTCTCCTACTACTACTACTACTACTACTACTACTTTTCCTTTACTATTACTATTACTATTACTATTGCTATTACTATTACTATTACTATTATTCTTATTCTGACTATTACCATTACCATTCACACTACTATTACTAGTACTATTATTATTACTAGGGCACTAGTACTAGTACTAGTCCCAATCATCATACGGCGCACCTGTCCCAATCCGTTTCCCACCACTTGTCCTCATCCCTCTCCTTCCAGTCTGGGCGCCAGGACGAGCTGGCCGGCTCCTCAACGACTTACTGAGGGCTGAGTAAGGAATCAGGGAATACATGGGGGTTATATAGGGAAGAATGGAAAAGAAAATGCAGACTGCTATATTATAGTAGGCTATATGCTGAGGTAATAGTAGGGATGAGGGAATACAGTGTAAGGTTTAGGGTTAGTAGGAGATAAAAAGGTGTATATATATATAGGGTTGAGGATTCAGGGTTAGAAGGGAGTCAGGGAATTTGTTGGGTTAATATAGGGAATGATGGAAAGGAAAATGGAAACGACTATATTATAATAGGGTATATATTGGGGCTGTAGTAGCGAATAAGGGAAGCTTGTTTGTTGATAAAGTTCGTTATTCCCTTCTAACCACCAGTAAGACAACTGTTTCTTCAGTTACAAATTCCAGCATTGGACAAAACCAAAAACTCATCTCTCACAAGAAACATTGCAAAAACATGAACCAGTTCAGACTGGGTCTGCCAAGATGCAGCAGGGGGAGAGGGCGGGGACGTCGGCGGGGACTTTCGCGGGAACTTCGCCGGGGACTTCGGCGCTGAATCTTCTTTCTCCTCCTGTTTGGCGGAGACAGATCTCGGTGGCAGCGTCGGCGTCATTGGCCGTGCTTTGACTGGCACCTGTGCAGCATGCACATTCGCAAAACCCCACCCACATCCTAGTGACTTGTTCTCCTGGTGTTCCTTACTGGTGATTAATGAGGAATCAGGGAATACAAGCCATATATGCTCCCTATATAGTATATTTGTATTTTCTTGCCTACGATGACCCCAATATACATCCTATTATAATATAGTAGTTTCCATTTTCCTCTCCATTATTCTTTATATACTCCCATATATTCCCTGATTCTCTAATGTTAGCTTCTGATTAGTAAATGGGCTCGTAGTACAGCAAATTTCTGGCTGAACACATTGATAAGAATAACTACGGAATAGAGCGTACTTTTCGCCAAATTGAGAACCGAAATGATCCCTGGCAATGCAAAGCTAATTGACCGGGCCCCAGACCCCCCACCAAACAAGTTTGCTGAAATCTGATTGGGGTCCCCGGACTATTTCGCATCCTCGACTTGTTTAGGGTGGGTCTAGTAATCAGAACCCTCCCATTACTAACCCCAGTAAGGCTCAGTGTTGTAGTGAGTAACCCTCAACCATAAACCCTAAACCCCTAAAACCCTAAGCCCCTAAACCCCTAAACCCCTAAAAAACCCTAAAACCCTAAGCCCTAAATCCCATCAGCCCAGCCTTTGGAGGGTCATGTGAAGGCGAGTCCACCTCTTGCTTGACTCGCTTGCGAGGTGGTCCTGGGCCTGGAGGGTTTAGGGGTTTAGGGTTTAGGGATTTAGGGGTTTAGGGATTCAGTGGTTTAGGGTTTCGGGTTTAGGGATTTAGGCTTTAGGGATTTAGGGGTTTAGGGATTCAGTGGTT